GTTGAAATGATCCACTACTAGTACGACGAGTTCGAAGTAAGACTATATATACAGTATGTTGTAAATTAGAAATAAAACCTTATATGTGATGGAAATCAGTGTCTTTAGGCGTGAACTGTGTACGTTATAACATAGTGATGTCGGCGCTGCAGTGTAGGCCTGATGTGGCCTACACTGCATGATAATGGTCGGTCCACATAATGGTCGGTCGGTTATATGTGCATGATAATGGTCGGTCCACATATAACAAATAAGGGATTATTTTAACGTTGATCGCACAAATTCAACCAAACATTTTATGGCGAAAAATTTTCAGGAATTCGAAAAATAATGTTGGGCGAATATTCCCGCAAAGACAGCATGACATTAATGTAAGATTTTCTATGTATCGTAGTATTATATTTTTCGACAGGTTTTTGAAAATTCAGTTCAGCAAAATATGGCCGATTAGAGATTGAAAATGCTACTGAACTTAGTGGATTACCATTCATTCAGAACTTTAGCTACTTTGTGATGATAGATTTATTATTTCTTTGTGATACTTCAAATGGAATTCGAAAAAATTGCCTCTAGAATTATATTTTTGGCATTGAAGAATCGTTCACAGTAAAAAGTGTAATTTTAAAGTATCAATAAATCCCTCAGGTATCGGTATGTTTTCTATATTTTTAGAGTAGATCAAGAAAAAAGCCAAAGAATGGCAATGTACAACTGAATTTTCATGTATTGCCTATGTCTATAATAACTAAGAATTCATGACAATAATGTGGACAACATTGCCTGATCTTCCGGCTGAATATGGTACCTTATTTTCCAACGGAATATGGTACCTTATTTGAAATGGAAATGGTACCTTATTTTCCAATGGAATTTTTTTGTAATTTAAAAAATTACAAAATCCGGCGAGGCTCCGTAACGCGAATGAAAATACACGTAATTAAGCCCCAAATTCTTTCTAGATAAACGTCCCGGAAATGTCCTCTGTCCCTAGATTGCTTTCAAACTTTGTAACCGAAACCCAGAGTCATTAATTGAACTCAAGGTCCCGACCATGAAGCCAACAAACTCTGAATTGTCTGAAGGTAGGAACGCTACTCTGAAATTCTGGGATAAAGCCGCGACAGAAGTTCGAGGCTTGAACCAATTGTAATATATAGAATTCGCTCATGTGTTGTGGCAACAAATTTTGATGAATAAAAATATAATAATTGCTTAAGGTGCGAGTATTATCGTAAATTAATACCGAAATCACAGAAATTTTTTGGCCGTCATGAGGCTGACGTATCTCTTTAATGCTCAATGCGACTGCACCTTGGATAGTGTTAACGTTCAACGTGCAAAAGGGAAGAGGATAATTAGTATAGAGAATGTAAGCTTATGTGTTTTTTTAAATAAGAAATATATGTGTCGGACAATTTATATCATAATTGCATCTGTTTTTAAATTTCCATTTGTTGGAATGGAAAGTATATCACTGTCGCCTGTGCTCCTGCAACAGCCGTGCTGGCATTCAACTTTGCCCCAATAAATGCTTGCATTTTTCTATAGCAACAAATAACGCATAATATATACGTATTCTACGACTAAAACGAATTTCGACAAAAATGCAGGAGTTTTTATATATTGAATGAAGAATGTTGTAGATGTACGTAGTGTGGAGGAATAACTTGATATTATAATAAAAATACGATACTGTAATCATTTTACGATTTTTTGTTGATGTTATTTGTAATCATCGTACTTTTTCTGAAATTAAGGACATGTGGCTGTATTTTCTTGTGATCACCAAATATTTAGTACAATAAGTTAGATAGATAAAGAAGTTAGTCGAGTTTTATACAGCGTTGACAAAAAAAGCCAGTTTAAACGCGTCAATTCGAATTTAAATTTTCACTAATTTCGTTGCATATCTGTCTCGTTCTAACTTAAGATACCGAGCGTTTCTTTTAAATTAAGGATATTATTTAATCGGTCCAGAATAGTATACAATTGCAGGTTCATTACGATTTTTAAAACTCAGTTTTGTTTCAGAATAATATGCACTGTCCCTCACGGCCATCGGGACAGACAGGTATCGGGCAAAGACTATTTTGAACTCAATGTTCCAATTTTCTGAACACTTAAACTGGCGACAAAGAACACATTAACATGAAAATACAGCAATTTTTACCACACATTCTTTTAACAAATAATTGCAGGCTACTACTTCTGAATCAGACTACCTAAAATGTTTATTGTTACGCAAAATTATTATGTTCAAACGGGAGCAGCTATATTCTTTGTCAACATGTAGTATTTTAATAGATGTTAGTATAACTACAATTATGCTTAAATACCTTAAGACTACTTACGCTCAAGATTAGCATTCATAAATTATTTACCTCCATTTGTGAACATATTTGTACATTAGACCTACGATTTGATCTTGAGGCTATACATGACGTTCTATTAATGAATACAGTTTCTGTACATGATATTCCACGAATATAAATTTAAATTTAGCTTAAATATAAGTTAACGCGAAAAACGTATTTGAATACCATTTACATGTTAATTTCAATATGCAATTCATAATTAGTCACGCCTTCAACATTGACACTAAAATAAGTTAATAATTCTCTCAGCAACAATATTCGGTGGAGTACAAGTATCTGAGCGGATAGCGAGCGTTTTTGTTAGAAGGAAACTTGATCAGCTGCCGATCCCTTTCAAGGCATGCTTTTCAAATCACTGGATTAATCACCCTTCAAGAGTACATCAAGGTTATAAAATTACTTATTTATATTTTTATTATTTTCCTAGGTACATTAATAGGAGAAAATTTTAGCATGAAAGCAGAAAGGAAAAAAATATAGTGAATTGGCCTTCTTCTGCTACTTACTGATGACAGCTATTGTAATCAAGCCTGTTAGGACGATTAGCGTTGAAAGCTCTTAATTTGCCTGCGGACGTATCGCTGAAGACGAATTTATTATCAATTTAATCCAATACTTGGTTGGAGAGTCCAGAGAAATATCGGTTAGTAGGATTAAGATATTCTGTTTATTTTTCGTATATATTTAATAAATTTTAATATCAGTATTGCAATAAAATATATTTCTGAATGGGTGGTTGTCACTTTTTACCCTAATCAGCATATATATAAAATAAATAAATATCGGTTTGAGCTTTTATTAGGCCGTAGGCCTGTCGCAGATTCATAGCATAGCAGAACATTCACAGCTTGTTGCGGTCTCGAAAACGCAACTCACTGCTACAATTCTGCCTTGCTTAACCGCCCGGCCTCCTTGCCGATTCNTAGACTTACTAAGTGTAACAAATAGTAAAATCACTTGATAGCGGAAAATCGTAAACGATTACACTGACTGAGCATATGAATCATCTGCAAGTGACGATTTTCAAGCTGTATAATTGTTCAACCAGCGTTCACTAGTGAATAATCAATGGTAAATTAATTACTCCATGTGGCTCCATCATAGATTTTTATGATTAAGTGACATGCAGAGAAGAAATCTTAACGCGTGAGCGTTAATTTGAACTTTGCTACAGTCAATAATGTTGAACTTCGTGAAGCAGTGAATGCAATAGTATGTATCGAAAATTAGCGTAGGAAAAGACAAAAAGACACAGCTAGAAAATGCTGCAATTCTGCAGTATCTAAGCAAAAACCCGAAGCTCATGCACCACCAATTTACTGTCTACCTTGAATGACTCGCTAATTGGACGATGGTGAGCCATTGGACGCAGTTTATCTCGATTTTGCAAAATCAGCTGACTGGGTTCCGCATTTTAAGGTAGAGTGGAATTTTTGAGAATAGATAGAAGTAAACTCAATTGTAGTCAATTGGATTAAAAAACTATCTGATAGGAACGCGTCAACTAGTTAGTGTTGAAGGAACCATGGTTGAATAATACAAGGTTGACCCACTCCCAGCCGCTCCTTTCATATGTAGTCTGTTGTTCTAACTGTGACGTCACATAATATATATGTTGTAGTGAGACATTACGTAGAGGGCCTTCGCGGGTCAGTAAAATTCGTTCGGTTACATGCGATCTCCTGGAAATTGTGTCAAGCGTGTGCTCCATTTATGCATGATGACAAGTTTATGTTTCTAATACAAAGAAAATTATGTCAAAGAAGTATATACGCGAGTTGTACTAAATAGTTGGTAATAATAATGAACAACACGATTGCAATATGAGAAGACATCAAATCAAAGCTTGAGAGTAGCAAAAACAAACTGAAAAATAAAAGTTACGTAGACAAAGACTTGAAGTTTGCCAAGCAAAGTGAAACGCAATTTATTGTAGCAAATAAAATATGTGGACTGATCAGATGTTCTTACAAGCAATTAGATGCATCATCGATCACGCTTATGTTTGTCGCAGCGCTGCGCACCCTCATGGAATATGGAAACGCTATGTGGTAGCCGAAAAAAGTATAAATATAAAATTTGAGTATATAAAGTCGAGCAACATGGATAATTTATGGCTTAATGGGTAAGTTTTACAAAGATAAATGATCTTCCGATTATGTACACGTCTTCCTTGCATTGGAATTTAACATATCAGTCATTTAACGGTTCTTATTCGGTCATATCAGTTGGGACCTAATAGATATAGTGAATGCAAAAATATGAAACATGGAATAAGAGTTGTAACTTAACGGAAGGGTTTCTGACCAGTCTATCGGTAAATTTTCCATGAGGATGGATTTCAGCAGCAGACTTATTTATAGACTGAACAAAACAACTTCTGTAGACAACAGTTTGCCAAAACATTCGTCACATATTGTATAAAAAATAAGGGCACTCACGCTGGCTCTTCCTTAGTATTGTAATTTTATTTTTCGTTCTTTAAATGAAAAGAGTCTTTTGCGGCTATTGTATTAATTGTAATTCTTCTTTATTAATTACTCGCTCTATAAAGTCAAGCGTGCTGAAACGGGCCATCCGCGTTCAATAAGTTTCTTCAGTGTTTACCCATATGCTGTAATCAGCTGTATCCAGAGTTCCTACGCAACCGCCGTTGTAACATTGTCAGAGACTCGGAGTCGGAGACTCGGAGTGTGATGTTTTTCGGCAAGAATTGGTTCATGATTGAACTGCTAATATAATTAGTTAAATATATCACACGGATTCATTTTGTACTAAAACTTCTGTCTTCTAGATAAATAATTTTTATTCGTCGTCATGAGTAATATTTTTACCCCTACAAATCAGAAACCACTTACTAATGTGGCTGTCGTCAGATTGAGTAAGAATGGCAAACGATTCGAAATTGCATGCTATAAAAACAAAGTTATTAACTGGCGAGATGGAACGTAAGTTTTTTATGTAAGGATTTTCAACTGTTGAAATGTACTCAAATGTGTTTTTTATTTCGCAAAATACTAAGGCGATGTAGCAATGCAGAGTTTTTTAGACTCTTAAATAAGTTAAATATTCAACTTAAATTTTGAGTATTAGGTATAAGTACTAAGTAGTAACTAGTAAGTACTAAGTAGACCAGCAATGTATCATAGATGCAGCATTATTAGGTATGCACAAGATATTGGTTTAAATTTTGAGTAAGTAAGGAAATAAAAAATGAACTGATTCTAAAAAATCTCTGGTTTACCACTATGATTCCAAGCATTAACCTACACAATAATAATTAGGTACATTGGTAAATAGTAAGGTGTAAGGACTTGGCACTTGATTGGGGCTTGGAACTTTGGAAGTATTTGTAACTGAAGTTTTAATATTTTATTAACTTATAATTGGAAGAGTGCAACTTTTTTCTGAAATAATTTGATTTTATGGTAGCATATTTTAGCAGCATAAAAAATCAAATATTGAATCAGAAGCTTCTTGAAATCAGTAAGAGATGATTTACCTATTATTATTAACCAAACTGAAAATTGGGCAAAGCCACCCATGATTGTAAGACATGTCCGGGTTACTTCTGACTCTTCCGGTTGTCCGCCTTGTCGGATACGGAACGTACAGTAATCGTAAACTGCGGTTGTTATATATACGAAATGTAAACAGACGGTGTTCAGTGTTGACATATGACTTTGGAGAAAATTTCTTCTAAAATAAAGATGGCCGGGATTGCGCGAACACGTGCGCAAAGATAAACAATTTTCATTACATTGCGCCAACTGTGCACAGCAATAGCTTAAAAAAAGTGAAAATGCGCGGGAAAATTCACCGAAAACATACATCATCCTGAGTGTGGCCATGTATATATATTTAATATTTATATCCATGATTTTGTAAAGTTACACATAAAGCAATAGCTTTACTGTAATTTTAATAAAATTCTGTGTGTCCAATATTCCATGATATAAACTATTCAAATAAGATAATTAGGTGGAAAGGATTGGACATTACAATTTGCAAATTTGGGGGGAAAGGATTGGACCAAAAATAGAATTTTTTTATTGTAACTCATAAATTTATATAAAAGTACCAGAATGGTTTTTCGATATTTTGTAATGAGAGTGAAATAGAAGTTCTATGATTTGTTTAAAATAGGGGTTTTGGCTAGGAGCGAGAGGTCTTTTTAAGTGACATACATAAGTAAGCTTTATTATTATTTATAGTATTAGGGACAACAAAAATGAAAGGATTTAGAATAACACAATTTTTAACTTGCAGAGATTATTAAGTCTTGACAATTCAGGGTTAACCTGCTTAGTGCTTATTGTTAATAAAATGAATTTTCTGGTCTTCAAACTTACGTAAATAAATTCTACCATGTTGAAGCTAATTCTGTTAATTTTTTGCAGTGAAACTGACATCAATGAAGTTCTGCAAATCCAAGAAGTTTTCACCAATGTGTCAAAGGGAGCTACAGCTAATAAAGATCTCATCACAAAATGTTTTGGAACTTCTGATGTAACAGAGGTAAATTCTCATACATGATAATATAAACTAGGTAATCATATTTATAGATGGATTCAATTTTTCTAAAATTCGAAAGAAATAGAAGTATTTTATTTTTTTAGGTTTCATTATTAACAGCTATATACATCATTATGGGTCTGATTAGATTTTACTAACTCATTTTTAGGATAATTTATAATTTGTTACACATAACCTTTTTTTTAATTTTCAAAGTGTATGAAACACTACTATTGCATTGATATATAATGTTGCTAAATAGTATTGGCTGGTCTTTGTGGGAAGATTGGCTGCTCTAATGCAGCTACTTAATGTCCCAATTATTACTTGATTATCTTTGAATTTTTGTGTTATGTCCATATCAATTCATATTCTCCTCCTATGATACACAACATCAATATATTTCATCTGATCAAAATTGAACCTACAAATAAACTAGTATATATTGGGTTATTGGCCTTTTTGGCCTTTTTTGTTCTCGGATTTGGCCGATTTTAGGCAACCTGAATTATGCACCACTTTGTCCTGGAGAAATACATTTCGTGGTACGCATATGTACCAATATGTAGTCAACATGTTAAAGCCCGTCGTAGAAACCCCTCCAATTTGTTTATTTTTTGGTAAAATAACTCCAGGCTTTGGTGCATTGTAGTAGAACTCTTCTAGTTACATATGCAAATGACAAATTTGAGGGAAGTGTCATAGTTTGCAAATGGGGGGCATCACCCCCAATGGGGGAACTCTGACCACCTAATGTCAGCCCTGATGGGGTAACATTGACCGCCTTGGAAATTGAGATAAGGTACCATATATAACATATTTTATGTTTGATACACATATTAATGTTTTTTTTATGTTTCATACTCTACAGAGTCTTATATATGGAAATTTTAACTTAATTTACAAGCAGGTCAATATAACCCCGTCACGGCTGACATTAGGTGGTCACAGTTCCCCAATTGGGGGGCGGCGCCCCCCATTTGCAAACTATGACACTTCCCTCAAATTTGTCATTTGCATATGTAACTAGAAGAGTTCTACTACAATGCACCAAAACCTGGAGTTATTGGGAGTTATTTTACCAAAAAATATAATTGATTTTATCACCCAGTCAAAGATACCCCAAGAGTGGGGGTAACAAAGACCATCACTTTTTTTAAATTACATCAAAACTATGAGAGGCAGGAGCCAGCAATTTATGGTGAGTGAACTTAGAGTATAGACCTGTATTTTGCATGTTTCAATTTAAGTTTAATTTAGCTAGTAAAAAATGGCATCATTAAAAAAATAGTCTAAGTAACCCTCTTTTACAGTAATAGCAATGAGGTAGAAAACTGTTTTAAATTTGATCCATTCTGATTTTGGCGACATGCATTTGGCTGCTTAACAAAATATGGAAGTTCATAATAATAGATTCATCAGAATGGATTCTTGAAACTACATATTAGGTATTTTAAAATTCCTAGATATTTCAAGATCCTAAAGAATCCTAGATAGTTGCCTTGCATCTAATTAGCTCAGTTCTGCTTGTTTGTTGCGGGATATTCCAGCCTTTCTCCTAGGCAGCGATCAAATACTGCACCAGACTTTTAGTTTGTGAAAGCTAATTATGAAAAATTTAAAAATTAAAAAATTAATTTCTTTACATTGATGTTGTTCACAAAATTATTGCAAAATCACTTGAATGCATTGGAATTTACAAGTTATTTGATGATAGGCCAAATGAATTGTTTTTTTTTCGAACTTTATATATTTCTTGTCCCTAGGTTTGTAAGCTCATCCTTAAGTCTGGGGACTTACAATGGTCAGAGAAAGAAAGGAAAGAGCTACAAGACAATCTCTTCAAGGAAATAGCTAACATAGTTGCTGGTAAGGTCATAAAAATATTTCCATATGTGTGTGCAAAGTTTTTGTTCCCTGTATTTCACATAAAGTTTCATGCTAAAAACTAATTTTGATTTAATGAAATGTCGACCCTCTTATTTTCTACCTTTATGTTGCAAATCAAATTCTAGTTAGTTTTTTCTACATTTTATTAGATATCTGAAGAAGTCAAATTATTGAAGGAAGCTCATGTTGGCCTCCAGCCTTAATTAAGCTCTTAGTTTCCTGTCTATCCTAGGTTTTATCCAATGAAAGTAGACTTGAGAGAATCTTGAAAATGTTTTCAGTTTTCCATAACATCATTGAATTTGACTTCAATATTCACCCAATTTTTGCTGTTTGTATTTTACTTTCAGCCTTGAAAAAAATTCCAAGATCTTAGTTTAGTCGGCAATAATGCTGATAATACAATTACCAATTGCAGATAAATGCATTGATCCTGAGACAGGGGTGGCTCACCAATCAACCTTAATACAGAACGCAATGAAGGAGCTGCATTTTTCTGTAAAACCTAACCAGGGAGCTAAGAAGCAAGCTCTTGAACTCATTCCCAAACTCTCAACAGTGAGTATTGCTATGTGAAAAAAGAGAGTTCAATTATTTATAAATATATTCAGGTTTGTGTGGGTTGGCAAGATTTTTTAGAGTTTATTTTGACAGTTCTTCTATCATAGTATGGTTATAATTTTAAACTGATTATACTAGAAGATTTTCTCACAATCATTTTTTTTCTTGCAAGAGTCTTCGTGTTTTTTTAACCCTCTTCCATATTTTTTTTACTCATTTAGTTTGTGTTGCATTCAACAAATGAGCTAAATCATTTCATAAAATGTAAGCTTAATTTGACAAATTGTATCACTGTATATTCATTCACTGTATATCATTTCATCCATAGAATTAAAGAATAAATAATTATTCTCAATATATTGCTTAGCCTGACAATTAAAAAAGTTTCTGTCTTTTATTCTAATAATTGGTAATATTGTCAGTCGTTTTTACTGGTAGCAAGCAGCAACCACTTGACTTGTATATGATATTTCATGTGTAACGATAATTTATGGTACAGGTAATCAGCATAAAGCGCGCCAACATGCGTGTGAAGGTTTGCTTCCCTAGCAAAGAAGGCAAGAAGCTAAAGCCAAAAATCCTGGAATTGATGACAGTCGAGAGTGAAGATCATGGAATGGACACCACAATGGTTAGTATTATGTGCCGAATTACACAAGATAATAATAGCAAATTATTTCATATCACAGTTGACTTACTTTAATCAACACTTTCGGTTATTTCATTATAATCTGTCATATATAATTTGTACTAAAAGTCTAAAGTTCAACTAATGTGTTAAGAATAGATTTTGGTGTCACTTTTAAACTATGACTACTTAGACATTGCAAGTCGAGTCTAAATTAAATAGATGCATATTGTGCGTTCAACAATGAGTGAATATCGAATATTTTATAAATTATCTGAAAAATTGGGCACTGATACACTGATTAAAAGTTGTTCTTGCCATCTTTAAGTAGGTGTAAAGAGTTTAAATCTTTGCTCCAATTGCCATTTGCTGGTAAATTGTGATTCTTTTAAGAAGAGCACCACCTCGGTAATTGATGCAGTTGAAAACGGTATTAAATTTGTAATGATCTAAAGCTTACTGACATGTTACGAGGTATTCTTATGGTCAGAATGGTTTATCCATTGCCAGTCTTGCCGGTAGGCACCGCCAAGATAACTAAGATAGGGGCAAATAGTATGTTAAGCTATGTTAAAAGTTATCAATTTGATAAGTTAAAAATAATGCCTTCTCATGGACAGGTGGGCGTTGTATCGCCAGGTCACGTGAAGATCATCACAGAACTGGTCCAGGATGCCACTAAGGGCAAGGGCAGCGTCGAGGTGCTAAGCCTCAAGGACGTCGTTGATGGCGACGCCATCGTGTGATGCCTTTCATCAGAACGCAATGTCATATTAAAATTTGGTGACCTGATTGCTGTTATTTTTATTGTCAAACGTTCTTCGGTATTATGTAACGTGATGTTATTTTCTAGGTTTTACTATTTGTAGCTGATGTGTTCATCTCTGGGCCTATATATGTTCACATCATCATGAAGATGTGTTCATCTACATCGTCATTTTACTATTTGTAACTGATGTGTTCATCTCTGGGCCCATCATTCAAAATGATTTAAAGTTGGCTGAAGTGATGTGAATCGTGGAACATAGCACGGCAGGCAGCTGCAAACCGGACCCAGTGGAGGAGTGACTTCCAAGCCTTGTGCGCCTTATGGCGCGGAGAGAACTGAACTGAAGTGATGTGAATGAGGATTTCTTTTGTCCGGTAGGTGTTAGCTGACTTTTTCTTTATATTGATATCTAACATTCGATAAATTTAGCTGTTCAGTTGACAACCGCAAGGAAGGGAGAACTGAGCTCCTTTGGGGCGTCGAGCAAACCCCCGGTTCCCTCGCTCAGCCGAACATTGTATTATCGTTTGTTGTATCATTTCAACTTTTATTATTTGGGAAACATTGTCAAGAAAATAGTGATGCTCAGTTCAGATAAGAGCTCAGTTAAATTAAACTTGCATCCCATTTCCAATCGTAAGCTTGTTGAAACCATTTAGTAAAATATTGCCTAGGTAGTGAAATTGAATAACATGAAAAACAGTGGTAGAAACCTATTTATCAACATACCTTTTCTCTTTTACTGGAAGCCTCAAGCTATTTTATTTTTTATGCTGACTTCTCTATTTGTGGCTGTATATTTGAACAAGGATCTCCGTTCGTATATTAAAAGCATGTGAGTCATTAATATTCAATTATTCTTTCCGTAGGTACCTATTTAGGTTTGAAAATTATGTAGTGTTTAACAATTCATTTCCGAAATGCCGTCTGGTCGTAGAGGACGCAAGAAAGGCGGACGCCTCCCTAGCCAAGTAGAGCGAGGTGGTTCAGACATGAGCAGTGATTCTATAATTACGGCAAGAAACTCATGCGACCTCAGCAATGATTTTGCCACTGACAGTAGAGCGGCGTGTGTTCTAGTTAGCAGTTGCACTTCAGACGTTGATCTTCCTGACACTAGACAAAATTGTACAACCGTCTATGAGTCTGCCAAGTCGGGTACCACTCAATTGTTCAATGGTGAGCGGGAAGCGTTCATGCCCGAGTCTACTTCAGACTTAGTTGTCAGTCGAGACTGCCGTGAAATAAATACAAAAGTAACAACAGCGTTGGCATGCAACCAGAATGTAAATGCCTCGCAAATCAGTCTTCATCATACTAAGAATTCTGCTTTCAATGACTGTGGAAAATTTGGAGAAGCAACCACGAAGAAATCGAAAGCGAAATACTCGTCCAATGATTCTTTAAAAGAAAATTTACTGCTGAATGATGATGGTCAGCACGGCCTTGCGGATTCATGTCCAACTCCTGACATCGATGACGAATGTAATTTAAATTCGATCAAGTCCTGTGGTTCACTCACACCAAACGTCAAAGACTGCCTCGATTCCCACAAGGCACAAACGACCAGTAATCTAGATTTAAACTCTTCTAAATATAATCGCGTTGCAACATCTGACTCATCCAGCGCTGTTGCTGATAAAAATGTAAATCCACCAATATTTGAGCACTGTCAGAGGGGGAAAAAATTATCCGTAAAAGATTGCCAGGATTCAAGCTCGCCGGAAAACGAGTTAAAACGCTCCTTGAACTCTAATACGTCGAAGACATCAAAAGTTAATCCAGCTTCTGGTGGAAAACTTCGGCAACGTGTGATGTTCAGAGCTGTCAACGATGTCGGCGATCCAGTTAAAGTTGAGGAGTCGTCGGCTACTGAGTTTAAACGCAAGCAGCAGTGGGTGATAAAGTGAGTAATGAACCGCTAACACTCAATCGTGTTCATAAGCCAGGTTATTGTGGTGCTATAATTATAATGGTTTTTAATTTTTCTGCATATTAGATAAATCAGTAAGATAGCTCGTATGAATAAACGCGTTCCTCACCTCAGTCTTGAATCTATGTAAGTTCTTATGATTATTAGTTGATGTTAAATCCAGATTCCAGAGTGGCATTATAGTATAGACAGATTATAATGAAATAACCGAAAGTGTTGATTAAAGTAAGTCAACTGTGATATGAAATAATTTGCTATTATCATCTTGTGTAAAGGGGTCAATTAGTATACATTAGGATTAAATAGTTATACTGTGTATTGCTGTCATTATGAAGCGTGTAGTAATGACATGATATTATGCAGCGCCCGCGCCTGGGACAGTCCCTTGTGGTGGTGCTTGCTGGCGCTGCTGCGTCTGTCGCTTGCCGGCTTCCAGACGAGCTACCTCCACCCTGACGAGTTCCATCAGTCGCTCCAAGTTCGAGCTCGTGAGTGATGACAAATTGCTACGAGGTCTGCCTTTATATTTCAATGAGTTTTAAATTTAAAGCAATTTGTCTGACATGGGCACCATGACAAAGAATATTTGCCTATGTTATCTGACATCCTGACGAGTTCCATCAGTCGCTCCAGGTTCGAGGAGCTGCTACGAGGTTTGCCTTATTTCAGTGAATGCTATTTTGAAGCAGTTTATCTGACAAGGATAGTACGTTAATCATCCTTCTATCTGGCCCTACAAGTTAGAGCTCGTGGATTTTGACCAACTGGTATGGGTCTACCTTTAAATTTCAATGAATGCTATTTACAAGGCAATTTATTTGCTATGGAGATTTCAGTGCACTGAATCCTCAAGACGGTCCTTTGGAATCATTGAAAAATTCTCTTATAAAAGCTACTAAATTTGAAAATACACTATTACTGGTCAGGTCTATTATTAAAATACACACTATTACTGGTTTGGACATACGTAGTTACTACAATTCAAACTCAGCACCCATTATACTGCTGATTAGAATAACATCAAAATCTATGAGCTACTTGGTCTACTGACGCTACAAATCATTAATAACATAACTAATTCTTGATCTTGTTTGAGTGCAGGTGATTTGCTGCAAATTGAAGGCCAGAAGCCGTGGGAGTTCACTAGTGCTTCTCCCATCCGTTCGATCGCCTTCTCAGGCATAGTATCATTGCCGTACAGCGTCCTACGCAGCCTCAACCCGTATACCGTCTACTACTTCGACTGGACTCTGCTCACTCCTCAGATGCTGCTTCTCACTCCGCGGCTTCTCATGACTTTTCTGTCGTTCATCGCCGACTGGTGCATTTACAGAATAGCACGTATGTGTTACGTGCGACCGTGGCAGTGTATGGAGGTGTTCGCAAGTTCGTACGTCATGCTTGTGTACGGAACGCGCACGCTTTCCAACACCTTCGAACTTATCCTTACGTGCGTGGTGCTCTGGAGAGTCAGTGTTTCTATTGTCGAGAGCACCAAAGTTATTCGTAGAGAGACTCTAATTGATGATATGTATCAGTCGGCCGAGGAGATGAAACATAAGGTACGATTGGTGAGACTGCGCAGTAGTTTGCCACCATACAATTACGTCGACAGCTTCATTTTGTCAGTTGTTGTCACTTATGGCGTGTTTGTTCGGCCTACATTCCTCGTGTACTCATTCATTCCCATGGCTTATTGGCTACAGCGCGGCATCGTCACAAAAGAACTTGGTTTTAAGTATTTTAATCTTCGGATCCTGAGTCTCTTACCCGGGATCATATTAACGTTCTTAATCTGTGTCTTAGCTGACTCATTTTACTACGAAAGTCTGACCGCAAAAGAACTTGTATTTGGCAATGTTACTGCCAGCTCATTCATCGTCACTCCCCTCAACTTCTACGCCTACAACGCCAAGACCGAGAATGTGGTGTCGCATGGAGAACATCCCCATTTCCTGCACATGCTTGTGAACCTTCCTCTCTTGCATGGCGTGCTGGCCTTCGTCGGGCTCTACCACATGTCTCTTTTTGTGTCGCGCGTTTTCGGCACAGGCAGCATCGCCCGTAAGCCTAAAGTCTACAGCCTGGCAACCATGCTGATGTTGTCGTTCATTGTTCCTGTGATGATTTTGTCCGCCGTGCCTCACCAAGAGGCTAGGTTTCTCTTGCCAACTCTTCCACCGCTTGTCCTTCTTCATTCAGATAAAGTCAGCCTTCATAATTTCTTCAAGTTACGATTCTCTAAACATTTCCTTTTCCTCATGTGGCACTCGTGGAATATATTTTGTGTAGTTTTCTTTGGATTTCTTCACCAAGGTGGAGTAACCAACGCAGTCATTGGTGTGCACGAATACATTCAAAGCAAACCGCATAATTTTGACAAGCCAATCCACGTGTACTTTTCTCATATGTACACACCTCCAACTTTCCTACTCATGAGGAAAATTGAAGTTGTTGCATCGACCTCAGAAGGCAGAAAGTTCAGAGTTCCTAGGACGATTTACAGCCATCACTTGAGTGGCTCTACAAATTCCTCTCAGCTCAGCTCGTTGCTCCACGCTCAACTTCTGAACAGCACCCACGTGTACAATTCAATGCCTGACGCCGGGGATAACATGACAGCAGAAGTAATAATTTGTTTGCCCGGCAGCGTTGCAACGGATTTTCTTGACCACGTACGACAAGATGTCGTTGGAACAAATCGCCAGGGCGGATTGCGACGTACTAAAGCTGACTGCTCTGCTCAAGCCGGCTGCTCTTGTAGCGATTATGAAACAAGTGGTACATGCAGCGGCGATGAAACGGGCTCAATGATGGCCGCTAATGGTAGCAAAGGCCTGCGTCTCGAGTTGATATCAAGGCAGCCCCTGCATGTGAGTTTTGAACATCTGCCGTCTTCTTATCTTCGTGTTACGCCAGACTGTGACCAGATATGCGCTGCCCGACGTAAGATCCACGAATTTAGTATGGAAACTTATCGAGTAACATTCCGTGAGGAGATGAAATGAAACTGCTGATCAATGTTGAGTAATTTGGTAACTTGTTCCATCATTCCTATTTATTACTAAGAAATGAGAATTTTTGTCTAGTCCTAATCTCGAGGTTGTTGCATCTTACTTTTTAGATTATAGATTTAAGCTGTGGCAATTTTAGCCTCTGATTTCTAGTCATGAATTTCTACAAGATAATTAGCATCAGCCCTTAGATAAGATCTACTTAGAAGGGAAGTTAGAAGCGATTTTATTTTTCTGACAATATGAATTCAGGTGTCAAAAATGGTCAAGATAGTTTCTGCTTAACCTGTTTGATTCACAATAGTTAATAAACATAATCGCTCTTCAACTATGGAATGTCCAGTCCTGGGTTTATATTTCACTTCAATGCTCGTTGAAAAATTAGAATTTTACTTCTGACGTTTCCATTTATGATTTGAATTAGTTCGAATTTCGTATCGTGGAACGAAAATTGTAATTATCTAAGAATCTATCTGCTGCTTAATTGTTATACTAAGTTTCAGGATATATTGGCCGTTGCTGAAATTACGTTGACCATCGAAGGTTCGCTAGCGGCTAGTTGTTGAATTCTCAAATATTAGTTTTGAATAAGTTTATCTTCATGTTCAGAAATGGTACAAGCACGAAAACAAGTCCATAGTGTTAACCTCCAGCACTGATCTCATTATTGCTTCTTTGTCATGACACAAGAACAACCTATAATTTTCGAGATTGCGCACTCACATCAGCACGTGTTCAACTCAGTTCTTTTTAACTATTAATAGCCACTGCAATTATACGCCTATAAAACTCCAACTAGACTCTTTATTTTCACAATTTTCAGTTCCCATCTAGTGAACAATACGAAAAATCTACAATAACCGCAGCAATGGCGTAGCGAATCAGATAACGGTATGTCAAGCCAGGGGTAGGCAGATCAACAATAACGCATCTATCATTATCTCATCACGTTTATTGTGCCAACGTCGAAGAAGACAAGTAACTAATAATTGCTTGAATGGTGAGGCATATCCATTGGCGTAAAATCTCCTAAGCTTTGTGTGCAACTGATGGGGAAATGAAGCATAAAAGTTTCTATGATACGGAAGACTACAGAATAGCTGAGAGAGCGCAGAATTACAAATAATCTCGCGAACATCGTCGTGTACAATGCTTTATGGAATGTAGAAACAGCACGTTCGCTGCATAGCGCGAATGGATAAAATCAAATTGAAATGTTCAAATGATTCAGAAACAGGACACGGTTACATAAGGAGCTGAACATGCTGCTAAGAATCGGCGTCATAGACGCGAAACAAGATCACCTGAGTTGGCAGTCATAGAAAAGTAACCCACAAAAAGTTTAATAAAAGATCCCACACAAAAATTAACAAAAATAAAACCACGTTACTATATCACTAAGGCCTCGCTCACTACTTGATAGTCCAACACACAGTGAAAGTAATTCAAATCATCATTAATCAACTTGATTACTTTGTGAAATATTATAGTTTTTCTGCATTCACCGAAATGAATAACGTGCATTCATAGGAAACTTAAAGAATTCCATCAAATTTGTCCAAAATTCTCGAGGTCCAAAAGGAGGCTACTTTAGCACCAGGTTATCAGTAAAATTAGAAATAACACTCCAAGACAGACACCAAAACATAGAGGCATTAACGGAACAAAATAAAAGCTAGTGTTAAAACAGCAACAAATAAATAGCTTCATTTACGCAATTGTAAAACAAAATGAAAAAAAAATGAATTTAGCCAATAAAGAGTTTTACTGTGTCGTTGAATATCTCAGTGAAAATAAAAATGCAGGAAGAAAGGCGTTTCAAGATTATTGATAAAAAAGAGCAATGGGTCACTCAGCAAGTTTGACAAATGAAAATAACAAGTTGAACATGTGCCTGAGATTGGGCGTTCAGAACTAAACACCCTAATCTTTAAACAGCTGATGACAATCCCCAGCTCAATAAGACAAATGTCTAGCGTGTACAATAATATTTCACTCTCTAATTTGCAAGAGTGACATCCAGGACATTAGTGAATTGTCCTACCGTCACTAAGTTGCTAGCTGTGATTATAACGAAGCTGGATAGAAGAACACTCAATGATCATAAAAGAAAAATAAATAAAATAAAATTATTGCGTTCTGTCAACAGTATGAACTCTTGTACATTGTGAAAATTCTTTTCAATTGTAAAGCAACAAAATTGCTTTGTATACAATTTTTGAAATCAAAGCAGACATTGATAATATGAAACCATTGAGTACAAACAATTGGTAGAACTAGTAAGAGATCACATCAAGAAGTTCCACAGCATAGCTGTGTGGTAAATGGCATGACAGTTGTAGCAGCAGTTATTCTCTACCAGTTACTACTAAATCGGTGATTAACGATTCTCCAAGCGACAAATTGAAAAAGATTCATGCTTGAATGCCCCAGTAAATTTTATGTTTTATCACTTGTTTCCAAGAAAACACATCCTACAAGTTATATTTAATTAGGATGGCAAACAATTACCTACCCAAGTTCTCTGCTACTAACTAATACGCCCTTGGACACCAATGATTATTGCTGGAATTTTTCAATTGGTGAGCAATTTTTAGAAATATCACAATCAACAGAATAGCAGACAAACAAAATAAAGGCTCATATAAAGCAACTAATTTATTCTATTTCAGAAAGTGGAAAAGCCTATTCATAAAATAACATCATTACTTTTCCTGAAATCTTGCTTGAGGAACACAAACCAACAAAGTCCAATAACTATAAATTACAGACACCAAATTATACAACAAGTAGGATATTTCACACTAATTTCTGATTGGCCAACATTCAGTTACGCTTCTTCGATGATGCCCTCTGCTTGGCCTTGGAGTGTGCAGGAGTTACACTCCAGTACCACAGCAGCTGCCCAAAGACAACGCTGTTGGCAAAGGTAGCGACGCAGTAAGTAGCAATGATGACGCGGTCGCCAGTCTCCTGGATGCTGGTGAAAATGCGGGCGGCTGAGCCAGCCGTGAGTAATGTGACTGTCACCGCAGAGAGCTGCCCTGTACTGCCAGCACTGTAGTTGGACCACGCTTGTAGCATCTGTGAAGGTGGATTTTGTTACAAGCATTGAATGAAACATGAGCGATTTGCTCTAAAAATGAACGTGATATGCACCTGAGGTGAAATTCGATTGAAAGTTAAATTTTTTACTATTTTCACACTAGGTTGTTATTCCTCCAAGTTAAAATATTAAGGTATAAAATACTGCAACTTTCACGAATACTACATCATGATTTTTTTCTGTATCAGATTTCAAATGAAATTTTATTTATATGAACCATTGTTAGCATTACTTTAGCAATGAAGACAATAGGAATGTTAGAAGCTTGCAGAGCCATGAGGATGTGTATGGGGATACTGCCAGAGCACAAAATGGCTACAGCTGTGGTCACCGCAGCCAAGAAGAAGAAAGCTTGCTGAGTTGAGCCTTTGTAATGAAGCACAAGAGCTCCTATCAAGGCTGTTTGTAGTAGCAAGAATGCGTTGTCACCCCATGAGCTGCTCATAAAAATCATCCATCAAACACACAACAAAGCCAAAAAAATCAGTACCAAATTCCATTGAAATAAATTTTCGGGAGATACTAATTATCTGAAATAACTTAGTAGCAGGAGATTGGATGTATACAAATTGTAGTCAGTCAACTGAACCAAAATTTGGTATCCACAAAACAACTGGGTCAAATATATAGTATATAGGTATATACCTGATTGTTGATAATAAAATTCAATAATAAAAATGATACATTGCAAATAATAAAATAAGAAAAACAAAATTTCTGAAATTTTTGAACAAAACATTCTTTTATTGTAAATCACAATGATAATTCATTAATTATATTGATGCAAAATAATATGTGAATGGTACAAAATTGGACAATTTTTTTCACACAAAACAGAATGAGACCAATATCAAAGGCAAAACATTCTGTGCCAGAAATTAAATATAGGTAACACATCACATTTGTCAATAAAAATTTCTACAAAAACTGCTAAACACAATAATAAATAACGTAAACAGAGACTAACCTGAAGGGATACTTGCTAACAAAATTGTATGAGAAGGAAGCAATGATGGCTACCAGCTCAAGCAAGGCACTTGAAAAGCTAATGCCTTCAGCTGATCCAGCCTTGGTGATCTTGAGGATTTGTGGGACCTTCACCAGCACTGAGCCAGCAATCAAAGCTAAGCCCAGGCATTTGGAAATTGTTGCCTTCAAGCAATCAACTGAAAAACAAATAATAAATCAGGTATATTAACAATAAAGATGTGAAAAACAATAAATCAATCAAATACACAAGTGATCACAAAGTTAGCCGGCTTGGATCACAGTTGTGTTATGTTTTTTGGTAATTTCAACAGCTTTTTTTCATCACATACTAAACACCAAAGAATATGCTTATGACACTAAATGATACTAAATAAATTTTCAAAAAAAGATCTCTGTCATATAACAAAACTTGTGTTATGCCATTAACAAAACCTTCTTGTTGAAAGTCAGGCTCATCATTTACACACATAGCTTTATAACATTCACATTGTTATAAAATATATTAGAATAAATTTTTATAGAGGCCTATAGCATAAGCATTTTTTAATTAGGTAAACTAATTTTTTCAATTACATAATCATATTTTCTGCATATTTTGCAAATTCAATAATTATTTTTTAATCAATGTCTTCTTCTATGCATAAATCACAAATGAGATAGCCAAAATCATTGATGGGACCATTCACCATTGCACTGCTTTGATGATGATCCAATTTGTTGCTTGAATTGCAATAACTATGTATCTTTACGAAATGGAATGTGTAAGGATCAAGCCATTTCTAGCTAACCCTAGGGTAATATTTGCATCCGCAGTCATAGTCTGTGTTCATTAGCCGGCCATCAGCCACTCTTGCTCTGGCCGCCAGCTAAGAACAAAGTTCAACATACTAGATAAAGCTATGAAAAAATACATGTTCAGATTTGAAATGCCTAGCACCATATCGAACCTGGTGGAAGTCGAGTGCCGTAGCTATTTCAAACTTTCCTTAGTCGTGAAAAGATCCGCTCAAATGACACGATTTTAGATCTTCCGTGAACAAGGCACAAAAAGGAAAAGAATCGGCGACAGGTCACATCAGGCCTACACTGCAGTGCTGAGATCACTATGTTGTGTTATGTTATTGAAAACATCAGGGGTCAGGCTCCACTCTCCAGCATAGGGTAAACGCGGTATATTCCGACACATTAAGGACGCATCGAGAAATGAAAAACTATAAAAAAAACATATGCGTTACGTAAGTTCTGTTGCCTTCACGTGACTCTCAAAACACTTCACTACGCATCAGCAACGATGAAACGTCACAAAATGTTGCCATATTT